TTCTCACTGACCAATGGGCTTGGAGCATGAAGGCCACGCACCTATTCTACATTCTATTGGGGCCTTGGTTATGCCTCCTCTGGCTCAGACACACAGCTGCCTGGTAGGAGAGTGGAACTGCTTACCAGTGCTCCCTTGAATTGTGCTGATGTGGCCCCAACCCCACCTCCCTCCCCAACCCCACCAACCTCCCCCACCCACCATGGCGATGTCAGAAGACATACGCAAGATGAAATTAGCCTCAGCTAGGAAAAAGGTAACATGCACACAGATCCCCTCCGACAGCAAGACTGCTGCCAGAGTCCATAACACTTCTGAGACACACCAGAATGGGTGGGCCCCCAACCCCAGTGCCTCTGGGCTCCCCTTACCAACGTCTTGTCAGTCAGCCCCACCCCTTCAGTAAGGAACCCTGCCCCTGGCCTTGCCAATTACCCCAGGGTGACATTTTTAACCCCTGAGGCTCCCTGCTCTCTACTGGGGCCTCACCTTTTACTGCCCCAAGCCTGACCTCCCTGGGCTCTGTGGACTCATGTCTCTGAGGACCTGAGTCTCCCAGTCCCCGCCCTCACCGGTCATTTCTGGGTGACTTTGAGTTGGTGACTCCTAGGCTCCCTGCTGCAGACTCTGCCTTCCCCTTCTGCTCCCCATGCTCAACCTTCCTGTGCTCTTTGGGCTGGTGTCTCCAAGGATCTGGGTCCCAGCCCTGCATCCCCCTCCCCCATCATGGAGCAGTGACTCAGGCATCTCCTTGATGTGGTCCCCTCCCCCAGGAGGAATGGAATGTAGTGATGTCACAGTCCCCATAGGGACCCTCGGTACTGCTACAAGATCAGCCTTCAATCTTAGGACCCAGTCCTCTAAGCATTCTCATCCCATTTCTGGCTCCTCTGGTCCCTGCACAAATTTCCAGCTGGATGGGGAATGCGGACTATGGGACCTAGGAGCAAGAGGTTTCAGGCTGCCTCACTCCCTTAACATAGACATTGACAGTGTGGAAAGCCTACACTTCCCCCGTGAGCTCAAAACGTTGACAGTGTCTCTGGGTGGCAGTGGGAGAATGGGTTTGGTTTGGTTTTCTCTCAGGCTTCTACTCCCCAGAGAGAATTTCACGTTTCTTTCTGAGTTCTCCACCTCATCTTCAAATTCTCCATGGTTCTGGGACCAGGCTGCCCTTCAGTCAGTGGCCTCTGGAGTGAGATCTGCTCATCTTCTGTGGAACAGATCTTGGGAAATTGAACTTGACAGCTTGAGTCTTCCTCATGTCATCTCAACTTAGGCTACTTTGAATGCCAAGGGATAAACATGGGACATCTTTCTGAAGCATCAGTTTCCCTTGAGTCTCTTGAGAGAGCAAAAACATTATTGTACTTAGGGATGACAGTCACATCGGTTTCTAAGAGTATACCAGACTTCTCTCTGAAATGAGACTTGGGTTGTCCTCTTTCTGATGAATTCCCAGATTTAACAGAAAGGCTGCCTTCTGCCATGAGGACACATTGAT